ACCATTTCTGGCCGGCAACTTTCAGCGTCATTAAGCCGCTGCGCCACCGCGTCCCCCTTCTTCCATGTTACCTGTTGTTTATGCTTCCTTTCCCCTCAAGCTTCTTACTGTTATCTTTTCTTCTCAGTCTTTACTTGGGCCCAACTGGTTCTTTTCCCTTCAATCATCTTAGCTCTGGGCTTCTTCCTGGGTATCGGTTTTAAAATCCAGTTTTGCCTTTCTTGGATGTAAACCCACTTACTCTGCAGTATGCTGTTTTGTTTTGGTTTTTTTACATCCCTGCAGTTGCGGTAATGCTGAAAACTGAATCAAGAGACAGGGGGATGGACCCTTACGCTGCTTTGGGACCTGATAGCATTTTTATATTGTCTCTACAGACTGATGGAGCATCAGCGGTACTCATGATGTCTGAAGAAAAGGCTTTGGCGATGGGGTACAAACCAAAAGCCTATCTCAGGTGAATGGAAGCTCTCCCTTCGTTTTTCTCACCATCTGTCATAAAACCATGGCCATTATCTCATGTATCGTGTAACCAATCTCTCTTCTCTTTTTAAAAAATTATTATTTAGGGATTTTGTATATGTATCCCAGGACCCAAGGGATCAGCTTCTGCTTGGGTAAGTTGCAAATTTGGGATACTTGACCATAAAAATGGAAATGTGTCCATTTTCCAAATCATTTTATTTGTAGACATCTTATTCCTTCTTTCTTAGTCCTAGGCAACTTCATCTGCCCTGCAGGCAGGTGCAGTGTTTTTCAAACTGAGGGTCACATTTGATCTTTAAATGGCACGTTGGACATCACATTAAAAATACATAGAGCCGAAACAGACTGAAAACTCTATATGAGTTATTTTGATGGTGATGATGATGATGATGATGATGAAGATGATGATGATGATATGCCGCTTGACTCCCAATTAATTACATAACATTTAGTATGATTATTCCCTTTGTATATAATTGTTTTCCCCTTTTTGTCACATAAATGTTTACTGGCAATTTTTATTGGGGGGACTGGTGACTACATTAGTATTTCAAGAGGGGGGCTTACCACCCCTTCCACAGAGCGTCTGCCACTTGACTTTTGAGAGTTGCTGTAGCAGCAGCATTTGTGACTAGTCCCATTCAGCTAAGAGTCTCCAGGATGCATGAACTCAACCCTCTCTTCCCTTCTCCCACACATCCTTCCCTATCCATGGTATAGTGTTGTACTGACATCAGTCCCATCCAAAAATCATTCCAAAGAGTTTACTGTGCTGGAGTAGACAAATACTGAGCTGTTGACTAATGGCCAGACATACCAACCATACTCCAGTTTGAGTGCTTACATTTTGTAACTGATACTTGAAGCAGCAATGGCTGAGTCATATAAACGCAAGTCTCCACAGCTTGTAAGAAATGGTATAAAACCTTCCCGAATTCTGAAGCCGTCCTGGTTAGGTGCCCTAATGGTTTCTTATTCTCCTCACTCATCTCTGCTAACATACCCAGTTTGCAGCAAGCATTCTGTTCCCATTTCTGTGCTGCACAGCTTCTGTTATATCACCAGGGAGATAAACCTTTAGTTACTGTAGAAGTAGTTGTGTTCTCTACTCAGGGCTTTTAGAACAGAGATGGGTGGAATAGCAATTCTTCAAAGCTATTTAGAAGAGAGAGCTATTTTGTTTATTTCAGCCAAATAAAGGGAAAGGATGCCCTTTTATAATGGTGATACAGGCAGGCACAGCCTTCCTCTGAGCAGCTGCAGCCCTTCTCAGCCAGTAGGTTTTTCTCCTGTCCAGAAGGGGCTGAATGCAACTCTTGGCGTCTTTTTCTCTTAGGCCTGCCTATGCTACTGCCAAACTTTTGGAAAGAGCTGGCCTAACATTGGCAGACATTGATGTGTTTGAATTTCATGAAGCATTTGCAGTAAGTATTTCTAAAGCCACATGCAAAACAGATCGCTTTGTTCAGCATTTTATTATATTTTTACTTCTCCCAGTGATTATAGTTTTCATCTTAGGTTGATTGGTTATTAGTTATAGAGGGAACTGAAATACGCCCTTTCTATAAAAACAATGTTACTTTAAACACTTTAAACAGCTAAAAAGGCTGAATTAAAAGAGATGTCTTTCTAGTTTTTGAAAAAGTTACAAGAGTGGGGTCTCATTTAAGCTGTTATGGGAAGCTATTCCACAATGCAGGAGAAAGTCTTTTTCATCTAACATACAAATGTTAGCAACAAGACAGATGGTTATTCGGGCCTAATCCATTGAAAGCCTATGGCAGTGTTGTCCAAACTTGGCCACTTTAAGATGAGTG